AAAAAAAAAAACACGATCGGCGGCGCTTCAGCAGCAGCTCTACCACCGCCGCTTCTTTGGCGGCAATTCGGCGGCAGCGGCAATTCGGTGGCAGGTCCTTCCCTCCAAGAGGGACCTGCCGCCGAATTGCCTGAAGCCGGACTTTGCCTCAGGTGCAAAAATTCCTTGTTACGACTCTGGGTCATCGTCACACTGGCCTGGCCGCTCTCACGCCTGCTGGTGGAGATGCAGCCTGGCCCAGCACCGGGGCAGTCCTGGCACCAGGATGGTGCCTGGCCCTCCTGGCTGTGCAGCAGCTTTGGCATCGCCCTAGGGGCAGGCCTCCCCACAGCTGCATCTGCTCCTTTGCCCATGCCCCAGTCCAACCATCACCCTCTGGTCCCTCCACCCCAAGGCACTGCCCTCTGGCCCCTTCATAGCTAGGATCCTCACCGCTGAGTCACAACCCCATCCCGTCTGCCTTCTCTCTGGCAATGGAGAGAACCTGGCCGATGCCCCGCCCCTGGCCCTGGAGCTACCCTGAGTCCCTGTTCCACAGGCTCCTAGCCTATCTCCCTCTACGCCACCCTCAGCCCGTCCAAAGAACTCTCTGGGGTCACTCAGCTAGCTTTCCTCCTGCCCAAGGCCTGACCTGGAGCTCCAGTTCAAATGCTACCACCACGAGGACCGACAGATGAACACTAACTGGCCGGCCTCAGTCCAGGTCAGCGTCAATGCCACGCCCCTGACTATCGAGCGGGGAGACAACAAGACTTCTCACAAGCCCCTCTACCTGAAGCAGGTGTGCCAGCCTGGGAGGAACACCATCCAGATAACCGTCACCGCCTGCTGCTGTGTAAGTGACCTGCACTCCCCTGCCTGCCCAGATTCGAGTACATGCACGGACTGACAAGCTCGCAGACCCTGCCAGATGCACACAAGCATGTGTGTGTGTATATGTGTGCACACATGCTTGTTGTAAAGTTACATCACACCGTGGGCCCAGTCCTGCTCATTTGGCACTGGTGCGACCGCTGCTAGAATCCTGTGTCCAGTTCTGGTGCCCACAATTCAGGTGTTGATAAATTAGAGAGGGGGCAGAGAAGAGCCACAAGAATGATTAAAGGATTAGAAAACGTGCCTGAGTGTGAGAGACTCACAGAGCTCAGTCTGTTTAGCTCAACAACAACGAAAAGGCTAACAGGTGACTTCATCACACTCTGTCAGTACCTACGTGGGGAACAAATATTTAATAATGGGCTCCTCAGTCTAGCAGTGAAAGGTCTAACATGATCCTCTGGCTGGAAGTTGAAGCTAGACAAATTCAGACTGGAAATAAGGTGTAAATTTTTACCAGTGAGAGTAATTAACCAATGGAACAATTTCCCAAGGCTCATGGTGGATTCTCCATCACTGACATTTTTTAAATTAAGGTTGGATGTTTTGCTAAAAGATCTGCTCTGGTCTATCGCCTGGTTCCATTTTTGATTTTTCATCAAAGAAACAAATGCTGAATGTTTCCATTCGACAATGCTGCTGCCACACCTCATGGGAGTTGTAGTTCATTTTCCTCTTATGCAACATTCTACTCTAAGGGCCAGGTTCCCGAGCCAGACTCGCTTTCCCATGATGCACCACAGCCAGGGACTCCCATGATACCACCACCTGCCTTCATCAGGAGGAGAAACTGAAGTCCAGCCCATAGAGAATGAGAGCATGAGGCACCTGAACTACAACTCCTATGAGGCACCACAGCAGCATTACCAAATTGAAATATTTTAGTTTTCATTTTTTTTACGAAAACCCAAGATTTTTCATGGGAATAAAAACCCATTTCCTGACCACGGCCAGTCAGAGGCCAGACACCACACACCATCTCTGCCAGGCCAGGAGATGTGGGCATGGCCTCCCAAGGGCACCTGTATCTCACAGCATCCACATGCTCCATCCAGCAGCATCCCAGAGGGGCACCCGTACCTTCACCTATTGGAGACAGCGTGGTCTGCTGGTTAGAGCAGAGCAGTGAGATCCAGGAGTCCTGAGCTGGAGCTCTGGCGTTAGTAGGGAGGGTGGAGTAATGGTTAGAGATGGGAACTCACTCCTTAGTTCTGTTCCTAGCTCTGGGAAGGAGTGTGGCCTAAGCCATGTGCACATTAAACTTACCTTCCAGGCTTGCTTAGTTAAAGCATGTTGAGCTCCACCATTTAAAGGCACCATAGAAGGGCAAAAGATTATTAATGGTTGGGATGGTTCCCAATTGATTCCTTACTCCCAGCATGCACCACCCCCCCAACAGAAAATCTAGCCCTGACTAACCAAGTTCGGCTAGACCAGCAGCATGGCAGCCCCATCCGCTGGAGATACAGCGCATCCTGGGGTAGGTGGATTGACCTCTGGGGCAGGTATTCCAGAAGTCACAGCCTGGACTCTGGGAGGGAGGGGAAGAACCAGAACTGGATTTCTGTGTTCCCTGGAGCAGACTATGAGAGAGAACCTAAATTCACAGTTTATTGAACCAGAAGGGACCACTCGGATTATTTAGGCTGACCTCTGGCATAACACAGGCCATAGGACTGCCCTGAATTAATTCCTGTTTGAACTAGAGCAGATCTTTTAGCAGAACAGCCAATCGTGATTGAAACCTTGCCGGTGATGGAGAATTCATCCCAGCCCTTGGTCGGATGTTCCAATGGCATATTACAGTAAAAAACACAAAACCAGAAAAAACCCAACACCAAAAAACCCCACACCTCGTGTGAAAAGAACATTAAGGTTGAAAAGTCAAGTAGTCAAAAGCTAGGAAATTCCTCTATGTAGGTTGCCTGTGCACTTTGCTTATACCAGAGGGCAACCCCTTGTCACGTTTTAACCCCCGCCCCAAAGCGTGGGGGTGCTAGAGCTTCTCAGCGAAATGCTTGCAAGAGTTTTTTGACCATGGGCAAAACGAGGTGTTATTCCCTAGTCTTGGTCTTGGAAACAGCTGAGCCCTTTTCACTGAAACTGGCCCAGAAAATGCAGCCTGAAGCAGACTCTCGGTGTGGAAAAGTTCAGCCTGAGCAGTTAACATTTGGCAAAGTTATAAATAGCTAAAAAAGGGGTCTTAGAATGGGAAGTGTCGAGCAACCTTAATCCTAGGTGGCACTACTGCTGCCACCCATAATGTCCCCCTAGAAGGGGCTTTGGGTTCAGCCTCCGGGTAGCTGGGAAAGCTCTGCTCAGCCTTTGGGGATGAGATGCAGGGTGGCCCTGACCACGTATACTGGACACAGTCTATAGCCATGTCATTAGGAGTGTGGGTGGCCATTTAAAAGGGCCAGGGACTCCAGACACACTAGAAGGCTCAACGAGACAGTTCAGTGGAGCCTGTTGGCTGGGATTCTTGTGCAGAGCCCTGGGGATCTACCGGTGCAATCAATAGATGTGGATATGGAAGCCTGGGGACACCAGGGGAGAGGCATGGCAACGCTGGTCTGATTTGTGCACACGCACAAATGCTCACCCTCTCCCGGCCCAGCTAACCTCTCTCCCTTCCTCTTTGCAGTCTCACCTCTTTGTTCTGCAACTGGTGCACCGGCCCTCTGTTCGGTCAGTGCTGCAAGGGTTGATAAAGAAGCGCCTGCTACCAGCCGAGCACTGCATCACCAAAAGTGAGTGCCCCCGTTGGGCCGCAAGATGGCTCCTTTGACGTGTCATGAGCTTGGAGGCCTTAGCCCTGTGGGCAGTGCTGCTGGTGGAGCTGCTGTGGATGGGAGCTGGAAGGAGGAACTCCAAGCAGCACTGGGTTCTGTCTTTGTGGGCTTATAGTTAGAGAAAGGGACTGGGAGTCAGGACTCCTGGGTTCTCACCTTGGGTATGCCCCTGCCCTCCTCTGTGCCTCAGTTTCCCCAGCTGTTAAATGGAGATAATGATACTGAGCTGCCACACAGTCAATTAGTGACTAAGGAGCTTGGAGATCCTCGGGTGAAAGGCAAAGAGGAGGGCAAGGAGTTAATAATTAGGGCACCAGTCAGTGCTCCCCCATCCAAGCCCAGCTGGTGTGTTCCTAAGGGCTCTCCCCTCCTGCTGGCTCAGGTGCCCATCGCAATGGGCTAGTGCAGTTCATACACATCTGGGCGTCTGACCCTTGACATTCCAATTCCTTGTGCCAGGGGTGGCATGCATGCCTTTGAGCACCAGGGGGCACCCTAGTGGTGACCAGCACTTACACCCCCCCCCAGCCTGAGTTGCCACCAGCTGACCCATAAGGGCAGCAAGGCCTGGTCCCAGCACTGCTTGTTAACTCTGCACAAGCCCCCCCACTCTAACTAGCCCCCTGCTGGTCTCCCCTCCCAGCCCTGCCATGTGAAGCAAGTCTCCCTAAGGGGTTGGAGTGAGGGGCTGTGCAGCTTCCTGGCAGGCTGGCTCCACAGGCCTGGAACCTCCCTCTGTCTGAGCCCAGCTCCCCAGGAAGTGACGGTGCTGTTCTCAATGGCCTTTCCCTCTCAATACCTAGTAAAGCGAAACTTCAGCAGCGGGACGATCCCAGGGACTCCGGGTCCCAATGGGGAGGACGGCGTGGAGCAGACAGCTATCAAGGTGTCGCTGAAGTGTCCCATCACCTTCCGGAGAATCCAGCTCCCTGCCCGAGGGCATGACTGCAGGCACATACAGGTGAGACCCCCCCACCCCCACACTGCTTGTGCTCCCCGCCAGGCATCTGGGCTCAGGCACATGCTGAGAGGACCAGAAATAAAGGGCTCTGACTAGTGGAAAAGGGACAGAATGGCAGTGAGATCTCTCAGGCGGCAGAAGAGTCTTTCCAGGGAAGGGGTGGGAGACCCCTCACTGGGGACATTGTAAGGCTAGGCTGCTAGCCCAGTGCCTGGGCTGTCTCTCTCCCTGCCACCTGGAGGCAGCACTTTGCTGCCTTCTCCCCCCCCTGACCCCAGGGTGACTGCTTGTCTCACTTTCTCTCCCTGCTCAGTGCTTCGACTTGGAGTCCTACCTGCAGCTGAACTGCGAGAGGGGAACGTGGCGGTGTCCTGTTTGCAAGTGAGTGGTCGTGCTCTGTGGAGTGGGCAGCCCAGACTGACCCCCCCCCCACTCCCCACCCCCTTACACTCTGGCTGAACTGCTGTCACGGGGCAGGGGAGAGCGGCATCAGTGTAGCAGAGTCTAGTGCTCAGAGCAGGGGGCTGAGAAGCTGGAGAACTGGGTCCTATCCGCAGCTCTGCTGCTGGGTGACCTGGGACTTGCCCTTTCTATGCTTCAGTTTCCCCCTCTGTATAACGAGGATAAAGATACCAACCCACCTTTGTACAGTGCTTTATGACCCACTCTCAGGGCCCAGGGGGTTTGTGGGGGGAGGGGAGCAGCACTAGGTTCCTCTGGCTGTGGATGCTGTTTTGGATTTGAGTCCCCAGCTCCTACGAGGAGCTGAATGGTGTGACTGGGCTCCGTTCTCAGACCCCTCCCTTGTCTTGTCCTCAGTAAAACAGCCCTGCTGGAAGGACTAGAGGTGGATCAGTACATGCTGGGGATCCTGATCTACATTCAGAAGTAAGTGCCCTGCTTGAGTTCCCGCACTATGCTGCACTGTTGTGTTTCCCTCTCGCCACCAGAGGGCAGATGTGTGCCAGAGAGAGAGAGAGCTGGTGGAGTTAGTGTCTATCTGGGGGGCACAACCTGCCCCCAAAAAGCCAGGCCGATTAGGGGATTTGCTCTGGAGACCCCTGACCTGCCCCCTACCCTCCCCCCCCCCCGTCCCCGTCCCCCACGCCCAGGAGAGGGCAGATGGCGGAGGGGCTGAAGAGGGAATCCCTGTGTGCGGTGGAGGGACGTCCGGGCAGCACATGACTTGGGTGGGGTCGGTAGGGGCTCCTGGGGAATGGACAGCTCTGGGAGGGAGCCCAAGGGATGGGAGAGCTGTGCCTTGTGAGACAGAGCACCTTGCAGTGCTCTCCAGAGACCCCTGCTTAGTGGGAGGGGGGAACAATATGTTTTCCCAGGGGACCCCAGAACAAGACTGAGCTGAGTGCTGGGCTGTGCCTGTCCCCAGAGCCCAGTGCAGGGTTCAGGCAGTGGCTGGGTGTGTCCAGCTAAAAGTCCCATCTTAGCAGCCTCAGCAGAGAGCGCTGGACACCCCTCCCCTTCCACCGCCAGAGGGGTCCCTCCAGCACAGCCTGGGGCAGACTGGGGGGAAGGCTGCACCTTGACAGAGGGCTCCAGTCCCTGCAGCTCTTGAGCTGGCCCCTCCGCATGACTAACAGGACAGACCAGCACTAGAGGCTGGGAAGGCTGGGCCCTGCCTGCAGCCGCCCCTTGTACAGAGCCCCCTGCCGGCCCTGCTCCCACACCCCATCTCTCCACAGCCCTCATCATGACAGCCCTGCTCTGCTGACTCCTCTGCCCAGCTAAACCCAGGGACTTCAGGGAACAGGTCCGGCCCACCCCCAGGAAGGGAGAGGCCGGCTCCAGAGCAGGGGCTAGCGCAGCTCCCAGCACAGGCGACGGGTCTCTGGAGGGCTTTGCCAGGATGCAGCCCCCCATGCTCCTTCCTCACCCCTCTTGGAAAGCTGCCACGCACAGGGCTGCTGCAGCCGTAGCCCAGTTGCCCCAGGCTGGCTGATGTCAGGGACCCTGGCGGTCCCCGCAGGTATGTGAGCTCTGTCCGCCCTGACCTGCCCCTCTGTGCCCACCCAGCTCCGACTATGAGGAGATCACCATCGACCCCACGTGCAGCTGGAAGCCAGTACCCATCAAGCCCGACATTCACATCAAGGAGGAGCAGGACGGCCCTGTGCTGAAGCGCTGCCGGACCATGAGCCCCACTCACATGGTGATGCCCAATGTCATGGAGATGATCGCCGCCCTGGGCCCCGGCTCCTCACCATTCACGCCCCTGCAGCCCCCGCCCACCAGCGGCAGTGCCAGCGACTACAGCAGCCAGAGTGGGGGACTGGGCGGGGGGGGACTGGGCCTCTGGGCTGGGGGGAAGGGGAGAGAGGGTCTCAGGTTGGGGAGGGGGACGGGCAAGGGGGCAAGGAATGGGGCCTTCAGGTGGGGGGGCAGGCAAGGGGGCACGGAATGGGGCCTTCAAGTTGGGGGGCAGGGAATGGGGCCTTCAGGTAGGGGGGCAGGCAAGGGAGCAGGGAATGGGGCCTTTGGGTGGAGGGATGGGCTAGGCATCAGGAACGGGGGCCTCTGACCAGAGGGAAGGAACAAAGACGAGGTCTCCACTGGCTTCCTTTTGGGGGAGCAGGCAGGGCAGGGTGGCCAAGAGGACCCTGCTGCTGGATGAAGTGCAGGGAGTTGCCCTGGAGCTGAGTGTGCCCAGCAGCTCATGATGGGATTCCCAGGGAACTGCCCATGGGTGTCCTGCTTCAGAGCGCCCCGCCCCACCCTGGCACACCTGGTTCTGCTCTGACAGGGTTTCCTTTTGCAGGTTCCAGCTTCTCCGGCCCCGGCAGTTTCCCGGACTCGTTCCCTCCCACAAACCCCGGCACCCCGACATTAAACGAATTCACTCCAGGGCCTCCCCCCATCTCCTACCAATCGGACATTCCCAGCAGCCTCCTGACCCCCGAAAAGCCACCGGCTCCCTCCATCACCGGACAGGTCAGCTGGGCTTCCCTGGAGGGGGCAGGGGCTGTGTGTGTGTGGGAGGGGAGTGCTCTCCCTGTCGCTGGGGTGATCCCACCTCTGTCTGTGGGAGCTGTTCCTCCCAGGCCCTTGAGCAGTGGAGCTGGCAGGACGCTGCGCTTCCTCACTAGTGTTTGTGCCAGCTCACAGCTGGTTCACTGGATATGCCCGGGCTGCTTGGCAGCATGTTGCCTTGCCCAATAGCATCCTGTCCTTTGATCGGTGGGTTTCTGAAGCAGGCGTGGTTATTTGCTATCTGGTGCAGGAGAGCCAGAACCAGGGCCCAATCTCCAGAAGTGGGTGAGTGAGAGCGCACCTCGCTTCGCCGCAGCCCGCACCCCACAGTGGGCAGTGTGGCAGGCTCTTCGGGAAGGTGGGAATGCAGGGGCACCATTCTGCCTGTTCACATCAGCTGTAAAATACCAGGCTCCATGAGAGCCACGGGTGGTTGTGAGGGGAGTGTGGGGCAGGGTGCATGTCAGTGGCATGTTTGTGGGGGTGTTAAGGGGGGAGGCGTGTATGCTGGGTGTCGGTATGGCCCTGGGTGTGACGCTGGGGTCCTGCTTCAGGCCTGGCCACTCCACACCTCAGAGAATGGTTTCTCATCGCCAGATTTTCTTCCTCTCTCTCAGATGCCTCCATCTGGCAGGATGGATCCATCCCACAATCCTGTGCAGCAGGGGCTTCATAACCCCAACCTCAGTGGCCAGTCGGGACAGCAGCTCCATCATCGGAACCCTCCCCCCCCACAGTCCCGGCAGCCCATTGGGCAGGCGGGATCCGGGGGTCCAGCACATGCAGGGGATCTTGCCTTTAACCCTGGGCCTGGGATGGTGGGGCAGCCGGGCATGCCGGGAGCTGGGGAAGGGCCAGAGCCTTCCCTCGATGTAAGTAACCTGACTCCTCCTGAGTGTGCCCTGCCCAGCTCCGGGACTAGTGTGTGGGGCTGCACTCCCCCCCGCGCTGAGTCTTCTGTCTCTAAGCAGGGCAGGGGAAGCCCTGAGGCACCGGTCTGCACTAGTTGCGGGGACCTTCCGGACTGAAGCCCAGTTCTGTGATTAGCCAACAGTGCCTGAGCCCATTGCTGGCTGAGCCCACTGGCACCCGGCTCCCATGCTCACTGGGTATGGGGTCTGAGAAACTTGTGTGCCAAAGAGCCCAGCTCAGTGCCCCCTGCTATCGAAGTGAAAATCCCCACATGCTCAGGGCCTTTGCCCCAGGGCAGGAGGGCTGCAGGGACATGTGCTCTTCAAAGTTCCCCCACGCCACTTAAGGCAAGTCAGTTTCAGAGCCAGCGGTACGTGAGGCGGCGATGCAGCCAGCCTCATGGCCGACCCCCTTGAACTGCCCTAGCTCGATGGATTTGCCGCCACCTTGCAACAGGGCAGCTGGAGGTGTGAGACTCTGAGCCATGCCCTCCGGGAGTGCAGTCGAGTGCCTTCGCCACACAGTCCCCCGTGGAGGGTATGGTTTGTTCCCCACGTGGTCTGGCTCCCACCGGCTTCCCCGAAGGCTTCCTGGCTGCAGGACTTATGGCCTCAGGCCTGGGGCACAGATGGTCTTGGGTTGGGAATGAGGCTTGATCCCCATCCCATCCCCCCATCAGACTCTTCTGGGCAGTAGGTCAGGGGTTTGAGCTCCACTCGGCTGGTGCTGCATTAGAGGGGCGGGGGAAGAGGAGGCATGCCCATAGCCAGTGCTTCCTCATGCTGTTCCCTTTGTGCATCCCCTTCCTATGTCTGCTCAGAGACCCCCCGGGCATTGGCGAGGCTTCCACCCCGTGGGCGCTGCGCTGTCTCAGGCCTCCAGCCAGCACTAATCCCACTCTGCCCAGCCAGCTGAACCCAGAACCATCTGCAGCGGCTGGAATTTCCTGTCGCCTTCCCCCGCCGCACAGGTGTCTCATTAGTGCACTCTCAGCAGCACTGTAGGGCTCGGCTCTTGGCTTCTGCCTGCCCCAGACACGCCATCGCTCCAGAGATCTGTGCCCCAGCGGGGACCCGGTTCTCCCCAGCCCTGCAGCACCACATGCCACTGTTCACATTCGCTCTGAGCTCACTCTGAACCAGGAGCCCCCGGGGCTTGGGAGTCTCCCTTGCCCCTGTCCGGGGAGGGACTGCCAAACACATCAGCTGCTGGATCTAGCTGAGGATCAAGTTGCCCCCTCTCTGCTGGGAGCTGGCATTGTTTTCCCAGGGGGCTGTGACTGGACATGGGGACCATGGTGTTAGTGGGGAAGGTCCCAGCACTGGGGGAATATGCTGCCCCCACCCTCTGGCTCCTGATCTCCCTGCAGGAGAGTTTGCAGCTGCTGGCTATTTTGGGGGCTGACATAAAAAGATAACCTTTCCACATGGCTTGTGTGGGTCAGGGACTTAGAGGCTGCAGCCCCTCTTCCTAGCCCATCCCCCTCTGCTCCATGGGTGCTCAGCTAGCAGTTACTCCTGCTGGGTTTTCAAAAGCAGGCCGAAGAAATCCATTGAACTGCCATGCCCAGAGCAAACTGGGCAACACTGGCTCACCACAGCTCTCTGGGCAGCCTTGGGCCCTCGCACCAGCTGTCGCCTGATATGCCAGGCTGGGTGAGATGAGGCCAAACGTCCCGTCCTGGATAATGTTTTATAGCCTGAGGAGGAGGTCATGGTGTGGCCCCAACAGAGGGCTGGAGGGCAGCTCCCAAATTCTGGAGCCTAGTGGTGTGCCTGATCAGAAGCTGATCTCTCCATGTGGGAATGCAAGGGTGGAGAGGGGATAGCCTGGAGCTTGGCTTTATGGAGAGGAAAGGTCACCAGATTAGGGGTCTGTTCTAGAGTCGGGGCTGGAGTCAGGGCTCCTGGGTGCTGCTTGCAGCAGGGAGAAGGCCGTACACTGAGGGGTTGGTTCTGGGGGCTGGAGTCAGGGCTCCTGGGTTCTTTTGTGGCTCTGCCATTTACTTTCTCCCCTTGTCCAGAGCAGCACCCTCAGCTCTGGCTTTTCCCCAGGAGGCTGGGCGGGTTGTTGCTGGCCATGGGCCGCCTGCGTGGTGTTCTCTGGGCCCAGGGTGCCCTAGTAATTTCGTTCTGTTTCTTGCCCTTAGCTTCTTCCCGAACTGACAAACCCCGACGAGCTGCTCTCCTATCTGGGCCCACCAGATCTCCCCAACAACAGCAACGACGACCTGCTCTCCCTGTTTGAGAACAACTGAAGCCATCCCCGATAGAACGCAGCCACCAGGCCCAAAGGCCCTCCATGCCCTCGTCCTTGCCTCCGCCCTGAGGCACCTCCACACTCATCCATCCCACAGCTTCCCAGACACGCGCCTCTCCTCTCTACTGGGCAAGGACCAGGGCTGAGGCAGCCCAGGACTTTGGCCTGGACAATAACCCCCTTGTCTGAACTCTCAGAACCTGCCCCACAAAAGGGACCCTGGAGCAGCTGGCTCTGGGAATCCTTCCCGTGCAACGGAGATGGCCCTCTCAGACCGTTCCTGGAGCCTCCGTGACACAGACGCACTCGGGCTATGCTAACGTGCCAGGTCACCAACATGCTGGGTGTACTGGCCCCACTGATTGGCCCTGGAGGTGTCCTACAAACCACAGCTGGAGAAGAACAAAGCAAAGCAACTTCTTGGAATGGGGCTGGTGGCACCCAGCCTCCCGCTGGCTTCCTCTGCTGGCTCTAGGATGCTCAGCTCTGCCTGGGCTCATGGAGGTTCAGGATGGAGACTGGCACCTCTGTGTACATTGCCGCACAGCCTAAGGCCATTGGGGACACGTGCTGAAGGAAAGCAGAGAGTCATGGAGCCCAGTATGAGGTTCTCTCCCAGGGCCTGGCGAAGCAGACACAGCATTGCCTTTGAAGGCCTCCAGAAGCCATCTCCACCCATCCCAGCTCCTAGATGGGCACAGCACCGAGTTGGCTTCAGGCCCGCCCCCAGTGCTCATGTGCTCTGGCTCCCTGCCATCTCTGGGAATGTCAGAACATCACAGGAGCACGCTTGGAGATCCACCTCCGCTCCCTGCTCAGCGGGGTTGGGCCAATGATGAATTGCAGTGGAAGGGGGTGGGGTGGGGTCTGGAAAGCCTCTTCCATTCCTTTCCCTGGGACTGCAGCAGCAGCAGAAGCAAAGGAACCTGGCTCCATCAGAAAGACCAGGCAGTTCCCCAAACGCCCTGACAGACTGACTTCATCTGGTGATGGGTCATCTACAAGCACAACGATGTACATAGTTTAGAAACACTAAAGGAAACAAACCCAATATATTTAAAGGCAAGTGGGTCGCTCTGGTGTCTAGTTCTGGGGTCCCCCAGCCCCAGGGCAAGAGTCCTCTGTATAAATGTGCATATGCTCCCTAGTTTGTAATATAGACCATTCCATGTGGGACCACCCGCACCACAAAGACTGCCGCTTCAGCCAGAGCGGGGCCCCTTCCCTCACATTCGAAACGTCTGTCCCACCCAAGCCAGGTCTGGCTGCCGAGGATGGGAACACGCCCAGCCAGCCCCGGAAATCAAAGCAAAGAGTCAGTCCAAAACACTGTGGTTTTGGAACCTGCCGCCCCACCTCTCCACCCCCAGCCAGCGCCCCTCTCCAACCAAGGCTGAATTCAGTGTGGTGGAGAACAGGTCCCAGAGGCGGCCTGACGGGGGAAAACCAAACCATTGTCCCTGGCCGGATTTCTTAGGCCGGAGTCCTGTGTCTGAGTGCTGATGACTGTTTAGTTTTGTGTATCCCGTTTCATTATTGCTATATATTAAAGGATTTCTTTTTGGTGGGGCTTACTGTATCACCTATGTGCTGTTGGTCTGAAGTGGTGAACGTGTATTACAAGATCAGGATGGGAGCAGGTTGAGGGATGAGAAGGCTCCAGACATCTCTGATCGGGAAGTGGCTTTAACATGGAACCCCAGAGAGAGAGAAAGAAATCGGTGTAGAGGGGGGCAGGTTCCAAATCTCTCCCCTCACCCTGGCCCTCTGCTAAGAGCATGCAGAGTCCAGTTTACACATAGCTCTGCTAGCAGATGCCAGAAACGTGGGCTAATTTAGTGCTGAAGCAGCCATGGGAGATGCTAAGTGGAACCTCATCCCAACTACAGACCAGTTAGTTTAACTTCTGTGCCAGGGAAGATAATGGA